AGGGAGAATGATGATTCTGATGATGAAGCTAAGGACCGCAGGAATAGAAAGAAAGAGAAGAGGAGGAGAAGGGATGAGTCATCATCAGATGATTCTGATGAAGAACTGCATAGGAGGAAAAGGAAAGGTAGGAAGGAGAAGAGGAGAAGGAGAAGCCATAGACACTCAGATGATTCTGATGACTCGCCTGAAGATTCCTCACCTCCTCGGCATAAGCGAAGGGGCAGAAGGACTGCCACATCATCTGACTCTGCCTGTAGTTCTGATGAATTACGAGTTGGGAGAGACAAAAAAAGGTCCGAAAAGAGGAGCAGAAAGCATCGCCATCATGGTGATGACTAACTTATCCATGTAAGTGATTATTTTATTACAGGGTTCTTTGATTCTTATTGAAACATATTGTTCCCTCTGACTTTAACTTCTGTCAGAAAACTGGGAAATACTAAGGAAAAGAGGGAACCGTAGAGGAAATTTGAAAAATGAATAAGTTGGGGGAAATCAAAAGTTAGGCAAAAACTTAAAAATATTGTTTAGGTATATCATACATGTTGCTACTCATTCGGTTTATTTATGTCTATTATATAAAGACTAAGAAACCTAACTACAAGTAAGAAGTTAAGAAATCTAATCATATTTCCTTATCTGTTGAATTTCATAGAGTACAGCCTACCACAAGACAATAACATCCTAGCAAACTTTTGCTTTCTGTACTATTTACAAATTCTGAACATGCTGTTAGTTTCCTTTCATTTCTACTGTTGGTTGTTTGGCCATGGTTCTGCAGTAGTCCGTTCTGTTCATTTGAAGAAAATGTTTTTGGTTGAGGTGATGTCTGCTTTATTTGCTTGTTTTTTGTTGCAATTTATGCTTCATCGTATCAAACCAATTACGATAGTATCTTATACTCCTTGAGTCCTTGTCTAAGGCTAGTAATCTTGAATTCTACTATGGGTGAGGTGTTCTGTTCCAAAGAGTTAAGGGTAGGAAAATCTAGCTAACCGAACCTAAAAGGAAAGAAATAAATATGAATACGTTGTTAGGATGGATTGCAGTTGAAGTTGGAGATAAGGTTTTATGAAGTAGAAGTATCTCCCCTATATTCCCTCAACTATTTGCTTTTAAAATTAATAAGTAATGCTGGGATCCTTGAGTCAGTTTAGTAAGCACTGCCTGTGCCAAGTCTATTATTGTACATTTTTCTATAGAAAATGTTGGTTAGACTTTTACCTATAATTGATTCTTTTAGTGAGCTCATGAAACTTTTTGTCTTGCAGGAAGATTGCAAGTTCAGTGAGTCCAAAGAGGAGATCCAGAGCTCCAGCGACTAACATAATAATATGTTCTATGCTCTTGATTTGTGCTCTTCTATATGGACAATTTATGAGCTTCCATGAAACATGAGTGTTGTTTATCTGTGGCTACTTCGTATACTGTCGAGTTTGTTATTTGCTTCTGTCTGCAATTGTGTGGGTGCGCCATGGCAACTGTGGGTTCGTACATGGCGCCATGCTACTTTTGCGAACTGTTGTAATCTTTGTTACTAGCATGTTCGTTTGTTATTTACTGGTCTATGTACGCCCCAGTATCTTTCTCTTGTTTTTTCTTTCATTTATACTTTGTCGCTCTGTCCTTTAAACTTTGTCAAATTTGATTGACATGATAAATAATACTCCGTAAAGTAAAAACTATGTGCTTGAAGTTTGCGGAAATGAGAGAAATAATATGAATAACAAATTAATTGATTAAACGAGAAAGTGACAAAGTTTCGAGACAATTTGATTAAACGAGAAAGTGACAAGTTTTGAGACAATAAAAAAGGAAAGATATAATCAGTCACAAGAGATATTGTGTTTAATAAAATGTGTGGAAAAAATGTGTGTGGTATAAGCACATTTTTACTTTACCAATGCTTTATAAACTTGATACATATCTTGATAATTGTGTCCTTTCTTCATTTACCGATCATAATCAGGGTGTGCACAACTTTGGGATTGGCCAATTTTTAACTGGGATTGGCCGATTGGGGAATAAGATTTTAGATTGGGATCGAGGATGTTTTTATTTGAATACACGAGAGTGAAAAAACTAAAAAATGAGGTTCTATCATGATTGAATATGGGCCGGCTGGGGAGACCTGAACTCATTACGGCCTCCCTAAAAGATAAAATAAAAATAGTAAGCAAAAAGGAACACCCTTCGTTCCTTAAAGTTTGGTCAAATTTGACTGAAATGTCAATAAATAAGGTAAATATTATGTGGTTGAGATCTATGTAGAACAAGATGAGTTAATTGAAACCACAATTTTTTTACTTAAAAAGGAAAGTAGTAAAATAATTGAGACAATAAAAAAAGGAAAGTTGACAAAGTTTTAAGAGAGGGTGTGTAATCAATCATCCACACATATATTCTCTATTGACTTTGCTCTATCCAAAGTCATACTTTCATCGAACTTAAGAAAAAGCATGTCACTCATGGCTCATCCAACCCGCGTATGTTTGGATCATCCCCTCACTCTCATCCCTGTCTCTTCCTCCCACATTTCAATTCATCTAACAAGTGCATCACTTTATCTTTTAAAAAATGACCAATTCATCGCAATATAATCGAGACTCTCACATCTTTTTTTCAATAGGCGCCACTCGCACCTTTTATCTGATTGTCTTATTCCTTAAGTGATCTTTTTGAGTATGCTCATACATCCAACACAACATTCACATTTCATCCACACTAATCCTTTGAATAGGACAATGTTTCATCGCCCAACACACTATGCCACACTAGCCGGTAAAACTTATCATTCAGTCTAGATGGCATGCCCCGGTTACCGAGAATTCCTGAAACACTCTTTCATTGTAACCACCATGTTCTGATTATATGAGATACATCTCCATCTAGTTCAATGTTCTTCTGAGATATGGAGTACAAATAACTAGGGCTGGGTTCGATTTGGGACCCGAACCGATTCGTCGTTTTTTGGAACCGAACCGCTTTTTCGGTTTTAGGGAAAATAGAAACCGGTACCAAACCGAAAGAGAATTGGGAGCCGGTTTCTGTACAAACTGCGAGTGTGGGCCCGGTGGTTGTCCGTTTCACGTCCTTAGTTCGGCATCAGCGGTTCGGTTTAACTGGGACCCATAAATTTGAACTACTATTTCATGCATTAAGCCCAATAAACCTCGCCCAAAGAATTTTGAACCCAATATGGGCCACTCAATCATTCCGTTAGACTAATACGTAGCCTACTCTGTTACAACCTTCTTGTGAGTGGATACCTCATTATATAGAACTCTGAAGGAGAAAACCTACTCTTTGTCCGGTGTGGGACAAAGCAATATGGGAAAACAAAAATACAAAGTGAAGCTGAAAGGTTAAAAAAAAAAGAAACGCGTGTGAGAGTCGAACCGCTGATGCCGACCCAAATGTATTTATATCCTTTATAAACATTATTAATAACAATTATTAATTAGCAATATTAATAATCGGTTCGGTTCGGTTTAAACCGATAATTTGTGTATCTAAACCGATTCCGACCCAATTTGTTTTCGGGTCTCGATTTTTGGGTCCCAAAATTTATCGGTTCGGTCCGGTTTTTTTTTCATTTCGGTTCGGTTATCGGTTTTTCGGTTCAAAATGCCAGCCCTACAAATAACGGAATATATCACTGACCAATATTTCCTTACTTATAGCTTTATCGACCCAGGGGTAGGTGAAACCGAGGGAGAATCGAAGAATAATCAAAGAATGAGAAAACTTTGGGAGAGTAACGATATGCTACAAATTAGGATTACGATCACCTTCTACAAGTTGGAAGATGACATTTATAGTGGACAAGGAAATACTTTGTTAACAAGTAAAGGCAACTATCCCACAAGTCTATTGATACATGTAAGGCTAATTGTATAGATAACATCTAATTAATTGGTATTGTTGTACCGGCTTTTGTCCTTGCGTACGGAATGGCTGGATAAGCCACACATCTAAGTCTGAAAAATGACACGTGTAATCAAATTAGGTGACGTCAGCCCTGAGACAATTGTCATAAAGTTATGTAACCTTGAATGATGTGATATCTTAGTACTGAATGTCTAAGTCCACAATATTCATCTGAGGTCCTGATCTCCGACCAAGCGTACGCCAAGCCCGGGTCTTAACATTTTAGCCAAGATGTGGGGAACCTCGACTCATAATGTGAAGTAGGAATGTCTTTGTTGATCTTGAGCTCATAACACGAGAGTTGGCCTGGAGCTCAGCTTTAGTGTTGGAATTGTCACCGACCACGGGCTCGCTACAGTTTTGGACTTATCTCGATGATCTGAGAACTAGTTTTGAACCCAGTCTAGATCAGAGTTGCCGTAGTGGATTCTGGAGATCCTTTAAACATCTAGAGTAGTCCCATTGTTACCACTATCCTGCCTCCACTAAACATGCACTTCATATACTAAGTCTTGCTTCGACTCAATCAACCCTTGTTATCTATAACTTGTCGTCTTATTTTCAACTTTGCTTTAATACATGATTGTGTCATGTCAATCAATACAATGTCATCAGCAAACATTATGCATTTTGATATATCTTCTTGAATTGACTTCGTAAATTCATCCATGACTATAACAAATAAGAAAAGACTCACAACATATCTGTGAGTCTCTCCAATAGTAACGAGAAACTTTGTAGTCCTCACTACACTAACACAAACACTTGTATTTCAATTCTCATACATGTTTATGATAATGTTGATGTACTTACGTGATATGCATTTTGTAATTAGGCATGCAAAGCACTTCTCAATATGTACTCCTTCACAAGTTATTTAAGAAAGTGAATGACCTTACTTGTAGAGGGACCAAGCACAAACAAAATCTTCGCTCAATCACTCCTCCCAAATTTTTGATTAACCGATTATAAACATAATTTTTCGATAATTGGCGCATTCTTATGCATCACCCAACGTGTTTACATTTTGTTGTTTCCCTATATCTTATTCGAAGAAACAATGTTAAATACTTCCTGCCTCTGTCCCAAATTTCTCCTAGTACGCTATTCAGAGAAAGTCCTTTCTTCCGCCACACCAATATGGCCCTTTTGTATTTAAGCGTTTTGATGATCAAAAAGTTGCAGCGTTTTGCAGCTCTATGAATAAATTGAACATTCTTTAAATACTTGGCGGATGGGAGAACTCAAACTCTTAAATGCTTCGCTAGAAGACAATTACACCAATAAAATGATTTTGCACATTATTATCCTTTCATCTTCATCACTAGCGTTGATTTTTCTTCTTCTAATTAGGAAACAGTCTTCGGAAAATCCGAAGCCGCCTCTTCCGCCGTCTCCAAAAAGGCTACCTATCATAGGCCACCTTCACCATCTAATCATCAGCAAGTCGCCGCCGCATCGCTCCCTCCACCGCCTCTCCGACCAATACGGAGGAGGCGGAGGTCTCATGTTCCTCCAGCTCGGCTCTGTTCCGGCACTAGTGGTTTCCTCCGCTGACGCTGTCCGCGAGATCTTCAGAGACCACGACGTCGTTTTCTCAGGCCGCCCGGCACCCTACGCCGCCAGAAAAATGACCTACAATTACGCCGACGTGACGTTTTCAACGTACGGCGAGTATTGGCGGGAGGTCCGGAAGGTTCTAGTGGTCCAATTGCTAAGCGCGAAGAGAGTGCAGGGGTTTGTGGCAGTCCGAGAGGCAGAGGTCGGCCGCATGATCGATCGGATCGCTTTCTCATGCTCGGAATCGGCGGCGGCGGCGGTTGATTTGAGCGAATCGGCGATTTGGCTCTCGAACAACGTCATCTGCCGGGTGGCTCTCGGGAAGAAAAGGGACGGCGGAGGGGAGATGAAGTTTCACGGAGCTCTTCTGGAGACGCAGCAATTGTTGGGGGAACCTAATTTGGCGGATTTCTTCCCGGGATTGAGCTGGGTCAACAAGGTCAACGGGTTTGACGCCAGGGTAGAGAAGAACTTCAAGGAGTTGGATGGCTTTTTAAACGAAGTGTTGGAGGAGCACTGTGATAATTGGATGAATGATGAGGACGATGCTGATATTGTTCAGTCTCTGCTACGAATTCAGAAGGATCAAAACTTTCAAACTTCAATCAGCTTCACCACCAAAAATATAAAGGCTGTTCTTGTAGTAAGTTCCTCCTATTTCATTTCCAAAAAAAAAATGTAGATTTTTTTCGTATTGCATCAGTAGCCAAATTTGGCAGTATTTTTTAATATGAAATTATTTAAGATATATTGAAATGTTCATTTTTAAACATACTTTCATAGAAATATAAAAATTATAAATTTCTCATACGAAGTAAATATTAGGGAAAAGTACGAAAAAGTCAAGTGTGGTTGGACCGGTTTTCAGATAGGATCATGTGTTTCAAACCACACGTCTTTGAATTTCTCGGATATGTTCGGATTATTTTTTTAAAATGAATTAACTAATATCAATTTTCCGGTGAAACGGTGACAAGGGTGGCTGGAAACAAAAAAGAAAGAATGCTCAGAAGTCGTCTTGTTGAGGCGCACTTTCCGCTATTTGTTTTTAATTTTTCGGGCACTTTTGAAAATCGGAGTTACTGTTTATCGTCTTCTTTCGACGATTTCTAACAACGTCAGGTGATACGATCCTATTGTGATAACGGAATTCAAATATATGAATCACTTTTATAAAAAATGAAACACGTGATCCTATCTGAAAATGGATCCAATCACATGTACCTTTTCCGTACTTTCCCTAAATATTACTCCGTACTACCTCCATAACATTGATATCTTCCCATTTGAAAGTAGGTGAGATTAAGAATAGGGAAAGAGAATATAATTTATTGAGGGTATGATGGGAAGATACGAATAGCTTGGTGGAATGGAGGATAAATCCAAAAAACTAATTGTAATAGTGTATTATTTTCTAAATTATTGAGGGTATGATGGAAAGATTTAGAAATGTGAAGATAGGAATGTTACGGATGAAAAGGGAACATGAGAAGATATGAATGTTACGTAAATACATCGTACTAAAAAGTCGGTGATGGACAAAAAATTGATTTTTTTTAATTTCCACGAATGTGAATACCAAGCATTACACTTAATTTGATAGTGACAGCCGCCGATTGGGCAGTGACCACAACAAGCAACAGAGACCATCACCCTGTTACCAATTAACAATGACGTCATATTTCATTTTTATTGAAATATGACCGCCGCTGCGGTGGTCAGATGTAGGAGTGGATCAGGCCCGATCCGGTCTGGGCCTCGGGACAGCCCCGGGCGGTACTAATTTTTGGGCCTAAGGCCTGGTACCGGCCCGAGAATCCACTGGGACGGGGCCAGGCCGGGCCGGTCTACCCACCCGGGTCTCGGGTCAGGTCCTTGTTAATAATTAATTGTTTCTTAAATCCAGCCGCTACCGGCCCGGACTGGCCCCGGCCCGGCCGGGTCAGACCACCTTTTCCCTGTCCCGTAGCCCGCATCCGACCCCCGGTTCGGGCCCCATGGACCGGTACCGGTACCGGTCGCCGTCGGCAGTCCGGTTTGGTACCAAACAGTACCGGGCCGGTCTGGTCCACGGGCGACCGGGCCTAGTCCATCCCTAGTGTGATGGATACTACCCAAATGAGTGACCTGACTATAATTTCAATATATGACTTTTTATACGGAGTGTTAAAATTTCAATATACCCAGTATGATTTTTTATATTAAACTTTCAAATGCTAAAATAGTGAATATTTAAATTTTCACTATTTTATGAAATAGTTCAAAATACACGTAGTATGAAATTGTCAACACACAACTTTCACTGTTTTATGAAATAGTTAAAAATACACGGAGTAATATATTTACTTTGCTATTAGTAAAAACTTTTAAAAAACCCTGTATTGAAATTTTAATATTACAAAAACTTAACTATATTTTTCATAAAATAAATTTTTAATACAACAACAATAAAATTTGAGCATGTCAATCGTGTAAAAGTTAACATTATTTAAGAATGGAGGTAGTACGCGTGTTAGTGTGTATTAGTCTAGTAAGTGATTTTTTTTTTTGTGGATTAGTGATGTTCGATGATCTCTTTGATATATTTCCTAATAATTCAATTTGAAACTTTTATGCATAAAACCATATCTTCTTGAACTCTTTAATATTTTTTTCAAGATATTTGCTACCAAGATGATAAAAACCATAATTAGTAAATTAAGATTAGCTAAGCAAAATTACATTAGCCAAACATAAGTTCATAACTATTTTAGGGACAAAATGAGCATTAGTTGTGTATTAGGAGGAGCCCAATACAAGAAAAGCCTAAGGGAAAGAGCCACTATGTTGAAGATATTTGCTCCACATACTTTATTAGTGTTACTTGTAGAGACTTCTTACATATAACATATTGTAGGATGTATTTATAGCGGGGAGCGATACTTCTGCTTCAACAATAGTGTGGACAATGACAGAGCTCATAAAAAACCCAAACACAATGAGAAAAGCTCAATCCGAAGTGCGGAACCTCATGAAGGGAAATCAAAAAGTGAGTGAGAGTGATCTCCCAAATCTGAAATACCTGAAAATGGTGGTCAAAGAGTCCTTAAGACTCCACCCTCCGGCACCATTACTCGTACCTCGGGAAACCACCGAAAAATGCACCCTCGGCGGATACGACATTCCGGCGAAGACACGAGTTTTCATCAATGCCATGTCCATCGGCACGGACCCTATGGCATGGGAAAATCCGATGGAGTTCTGGCCGGAGAGGTTTTTCGAGAGCGATGTCGACTACAGAGGAATGCACTCCGAGTTTATACCATTCGGAGCGGGGCGGAGGGGTTGTCCTGGCACAAACTTCTCGGTGCCGTTGGTGGAGCTCACACTTGCCAATCTTTTGTATAGGTTTGATTGGAAGCTTCCGGAGGGGATGGCTGTTGAGGAGATTGATATGGAAGAAACTTTTGGGATAACTGTGCACAAGAAAGCTCCTCTTTCCTTGCTTGCTCTCATCATTTCTACCCCTACTTCATAAACTGCACACATATTCATTAGGATTGGGAAAATTAAAAAATATTGTGAAATTTCAAAAGTACTTTATTTCTCCCGAGATAGAAGTTCACATTGCTACTCCTATTAAGAGAAAAAAATATCAGTCTTAGTTTGGAATATGAGGTTATTTTACATTTATTGAGGAATTTTTTTTATGTTAAATTGCAAACTAAAAAGTCGGAGTCTATGTGTGAATTGTGTAAACCATCGCTGTTAATTACGTTGTTGTTATGTGCGAGGGCATATCACTAGCAAGCGAGCACTATAATGCTAATAGGATGATCAAGCTTTAAAATTGGAACTGTCCTCTAATTTACATATCTATCCAACCATGTATGTTATATTAATATATCAACTCGTGATTGAATATATATATACAATGTAGAAAGTGTATTATTTGACGAAGAGAGTATATGCATTAGTAAAATTTGATACGATAATATATGCCAACAATAAAATAAGTTTGTAGAGTTGCCTCTAGACATGCTCATCTGATGATTTACGTTTCTTAAAACAACATCATCACCGGGTAAATGGAGTGTCACAAGAGGCAAGTTTAATATTTGATTCATGACAATTGCGATAAAAGGTTACTATACAAAATGTATAGTGTCTCCACAAATACTTGGGTCATAGTCCCTCTCATTATCTACATTCTCAGGTATTGTCCTGCCGGTGATAGAAGCCCCCAACAATGAGGTGTCATCCTTTTTTAAAATAATCATCTATACATATGTTAAAATACCTAAATACTACGTACTTAGTAAGTCTTCTTAACTATTACGCAGTATATTTCTATGAAATTTCTTAAGGTTTCACGAGTTCATAATTTAAATCCAACACTTTCAAGTCAGGGTCAGTTGGATATGTTTAAAGTACTAGGGGCGGAGAATTAAAGTGGGCCTAATTCGGGAAAAAAAATTGTATGACCTTTTTATGTCTAAACTTTCTTTCTTTACGAGAGAAAATGGCTTCTATTAAAATCATAGAATTCAACCAAACAACAACAAGACCAGACACCGTAGACAAATAAGAAAGATCAGAAAACAATATTTGATCATATGTCCTGGGACCAGACAAGAGGCTATAACCCACTCAGGAGCAATAGGATTCGATAATCGCCACTTGGGCAACTGTAAAGTCCATCTTAGAGGAGGCTCATTCATCGGCGTATGTTATGCACTCGGGAGGTACAAAAAATGTACTGTAATTTGAAAGAAAGTTACTGGTGGTCTGGTATGAAGAGGGAAATAGTCGAGTACATCAGTCGATGCCTTACTTGTCAACAAGTTAAGGCAGAACATCAACATCCAGCTGCGTTATTGCATCCACTCTCCATTCCTGAATGGAAATGGGAGCACTTGACTATGTATTTTGTGGTAGTGCTACCACGGACGGTCAAGAACTATGATGTTGTATGGGTTATAGTTGATAGGCTCACGAAGAGTGCACACTTTCTACCTATCAACACCACCTATGCAAATGAGAGATTAGCCAAATTGTATGTGGATGAGATCGTGAGGCTACATGGGGTTCCGATAACCATTGTATCTGATAGAGATCAACAATTCACATCACGATTTTTGTCGAAGTTCCAAGAATCTATGGGAACGAGATTGAAGTTTACACTGCTTTTCATTCACAGACGGATGGACAATCTGAGCAGGTTATCCATATATTGGAAGATATGTTGAGAGCTTGTGCATTGGAGTTTCAAGGAAGTTGGGAAAACCATTTAGCACCGGTGGAGTTTACGTATAATAACAGTTATCAGGCGAGTATAGGCATGCCTCCATACGAGGCATTACATGGGAGGAGATGTCATACGCCTTTATGCTGGGATGAGGTTGGTATGGCAAAACTTGAAAGCACGAAATTGGTGGAAATCACCAAGTCAAAAGTGAAGATGATTCGTGAAAGGCTTAAGACGGCCCGGGATAGATAGAAGATCTATGCCGATAAGCGCCGAAGAGCCTTAGAGTTTAAGGTGGGAGATGAGGTATTCTTGAAAGTTTCACCTTGGAAGGGAATCATCCGATTTCAAAGCCGAGGGAAGCTTAACCCACGATACATAGGGCCATTTGTAATTCTTGAGAGAATTGGGGCCGTAGCATATCGACTATAGTTGACTCCAGAATTGGAGAAGATACATAACGTTTTTCACGTGTCTATGCTCATGAAATATATGTCAGATCCGTCTCATGTACTAGAGAAACCACCCGTGGAAATACGGGAAGACTTGAACTATGTCGTGCAACCGGTGAAGATACTTGATAAGCAAGTCAAGAAGTTGAGGAGCAAGAAAGTTCCAATGGTTAAAATCCTTTGGAAAAGTGACCGAGTCGAATAAGAAACTTGGGAAACGGAAGCCTTGATGAGGGAACGATATGCATTTATGTTTGAATAAGCATTGTGAATTTCGAGGATGAAGTTCCCGTTAGGGGGGGGGGGGGGGGGTGAACTTGTGACACCGCACCCAGATGTACTTGAATTTAATATTCAGAATGTATTTGAATTTTCTAACGAATAATTCCGTGTAAAAGAATGATGGATTAAATTATTTATCGGGCACATAATATTGAGAATGAGCTACCAAATATTTAGTTGGGTCATCGTAATAATTATAGAAGCCCAATATAATGTCAACTAAAGTTGAGAAAAATGTTTGGGCAACCCAAGTGCTATTTTGACTCAACCTGCCATAAATAACGGGAATAATTGGGAGAAACTTTCTACACTCATTAGGACTTTTCCTACATGTCTTTGAGACTCTAAATAATTAAAATGGGGCAATTGGGGATGGATTGTGCGGACAAGTCAAGGAGGGAAACCTCCTAGGGACAAAACCTACACACTATGACCCCATGCACATATCATTTGGAGGCTTAATTGATAGGAGAGATGTCATTCCTATCATCCTTGCTCTAGCCTCATCCGCACAAGCATAACCACAAGAGAGAGAGAGCTCTGGGGTTGACTTCCATAAACTCAAGCCATAGTTGGAGGAAGCTAGGAAGAAAATCCAAGAGAAACTAAGCTAGAAGAAAGGTAATAACTCAAATAGTTCTTTAACTAGTTTTATTGTGTATGATTTTTAAGAAATCATATGGTGGATTAAACCATGAGTTCTACACGTTTAAAAGTGTAGAATATTGGTATAAAGTGTTGGTATTTAACTTAGAAAAATCGTGGAATCGATATGAGTTGAAACCACCGAAAGCCGCCAAGGAGAAGAAGTTGCTCGTATTGCAGCAGCCCGAAAGCCGCCCGGCTTTTGCCCAACATGCAGTCCAGTTTTTCATTTCCAATCAGCCTAGGATGGGTATTGATCGAATGGCTTAACAAGGCAACTAGTTGAGCACATCATAAGGTGAAGATGACTGATTATATTGCTTATAATTAGTGAGTTAGTTTTGATGAGATTACCTAAGGTAATTAAATGTGTTTTTATGGATTATTAATGATTAATAATGCCTAAGAATGAGAACACTATTGCCTATAAGGAAAAGGAGCATGATATACAAATCTAAGAGTAATCGTGTATGATCATGTGTTATGAGTATGTTGACTTGATAGTGGAATTAACTATGAAGTCTATGTTGAAATATACGTTTTTACTTCATATAAGAATATATGAGTGATTAAAAGTGATATTTTGTATATTGATATAAATGATATTTTCAATGGAAAATCAGTTTGGAATTATCTATAAGACTATGAATGGAGAGCTTGGTTTGTTGGAATTTATCCGATTAGTATTAATATACTAGTCGGGCATTCAAGTGAAATGTTTCTAGAATTGATCCTAAGGTTGGATTGTGAAATGTTATGCCTTAAGTAGTCTTAAGAGATGCTTTAAGGTAGAATGTATGGACTTTAAGTTATACTAGGGGTAGGCTTTAAGGGATACCCAAGATAAAATGAATAATAAAATGATCCTAGATATAGGATTGGCCTACGGGTGTAATCGGTAGCCCTTCCCGAATCTAGAGAGCGTGCTTGGATAGCATGGACTTGCAACGTGATCGAGTGTAGGGTGGAATCCGAATCGGAGACCTAACTAGACTCCGAGAGCAGTAACACATAAGATAGGACCCGAGGGGCCTTACCTTCCTACGAGATGATGGGTATGAGTCCAGGGGCGGGATGTTGGAATCCGAACCGGTGACTTTATGAAGCCTTGGACAGTGGTAGCAAGTCCCGTAGAAACAATAAGACCTACGGGTTGTGTCGTGGGAACGATGAATGAAATGGAAAATAAGAAGGGGTCGTGTGTCTACAAATTAATGAATTGACTTATTATAAAGATAATAAGGGGGAAATATAAATAATTATTTGTATTATGATATCACTCTAATTTGAGGGTCTTAGAAATTAAAACATTGATTATATTCAGTGTAGTTGTCATCGTACTTTTCAAATGCTTCAAAGTACTGACCTCCCCTTCACGGGGGAGGCCACCTCACAGTTTCAAGTAGAAGTTGAGCTTGCTACCAAGACTCGTTACTTTGAGGGAGGATCTAGGAGTGAAGACGTGGTTCGTGCTTCCTCCGTTTCTGTTTTTAAAAACAATTACATTATTTTTGAATAATTATTTTCTGAATAATTATTTGGGGGCTTGTATGCCTAAGTTTGCCAAGTATGGCTTGAACACTTGTATTAATGTTTCCGCTGCTTTAAATGAATATTTTACATTATGTTTGTTTATGGATGTACTAGGTGTGAATGGTATTCAGACGTCTTGTATAGTATGGATGTGTTGGACTGCGGTTGACTATTCGTACTGTACGACAGGTTGTTGACGTGTCCGAGTAGGTCCGGGGCGTGACACCTGCCCCCTATGGCCGCCCCTGTTTCAAGTGCAAAATAAAGTCACCTATATGTACTTGATGGGGTTATGGGACCAGGCCCAGAGCCTAATCGGCCCAGGCCCCGAACTTGGACCAGCGGGCCCAAGCCCAGCAACCTAGAGCTCGAGTCGGCCCAACCAATCAGGGCAATCAAGGAGCGGAAGCCCAAGAGAGCCTGTCGACCAGCCCAGCGGGGAGCCTGCCTTCCAGCCCAATGGGGAGCCTGCCTTCCAGCCCAGTGTCATGAGCCTGCCTTCCAGCCTAGCCAGGAGCCTGCCGACCACCAGCCTCGCTGGGAGCCTGCGATCCAGCCCAACTGGGAGCCTGCGGTCCAGCCCAGGTGGGAGCCTGCCTCCAGCCCAACGGGGAGCCTGCCTTCCGGCCTACCCAGGAGCCTCCCTTCCATCCTACCCGGGAGCCTGCCTCCAGCCCGGTCAGAAGCCTTCCTCCAGCCTAGCGGGAAGCCCACCGTCCAGTCCAGCAG